GTTAAATCTCTTTGTGAAAAATATATGACTCAACTTGTGTCTGATAAAAAGAGACAAGAAAGTGATGATGATGAACAACTTATTCAACAAATATCTTCTAACCCTCAACCAATTCAACAACTACCTCAACTTATTCCTGTTCTTTCTCAAATACAATCTCAATCACAAATACAACCAATACTTCAAAACCAAGTTCCTTCTCAACTAACACAACAAATACATCCTCAGTTATCTCAAATAGTTTTAACTCAACCCCCAAATGTAATAAATTCTTTTGTATCAAATTATCCTATAATGCCTAATCAAATTATTCCTTATCAATATCAAATGGATACAAACCCAAAAATTACTTCTTTTGAACAAACATTATCCTCTGCTGAACAAACAAATTCTCAAGAAGTTCAAATTGAAATGCAACAACTTCAATCTCCTCAACAATCAAATACACTTTCACTTGCATCAAATGAATGGGATGTTTTAATTAATACAGTTAATACTTCTCAATCAACAACACATCAATTACTTTGTTCAGAATTACAAAAAGGAGACTTTTTACGTATTTACAATATATCAAAAACTCTTCATAGACTTCATGTTTATGGTGAGGTTCTTGCTGAAAATGGATATTTTGTAAGATCTGATGAACGAACTAAATGTCATATTCGACCTTTATCAGATTGTCTTGAAAGTATTTCTCAACTTGTTGGAAAACAATATCGTTATAAAAATTCACCACAATTACGATTAGGTTTTGTTGCACAAGAAGTAAAAGAAATATTACCAGATTTAGTTCATACTGATGAAATAACTGGAACATTGAGTGTAGATGTACTTGGAATTATTCCATTTTTAGTAGAATCGTTAAAACAATTAAATTCTGAAATATCTATGTTAGATGGAGTTAATGATACTCAGTTTAAATGTTTGCAAGATAGAGTTGTTGAAGCTCTTAATCTAGCAGATGATTTAAAAATAAAACAAAAACAAGATTTATATGAATTACAAAAATATATTGATAAAGTTCAAGAACCAATTTATTCATTTTCATTTGGACCAATTCCAGTAACAATTTATTTTGCAGTTATTTTAACTATTATGAGTATTGTTCTTCCATTTACATATCATTATCAATATATAATATGGGGATATTTCATATTTACAACATTATGTGCTTATTTTTCTTTAATATTTAAAAGAAAAGAATTATGGGAAATGTTTAGATTTCATAGAATTGTTTGGGAATGGAAGACTTATCATTTTATTACATTATCTCTTTTTGCTTTCCTTTTTATACTTTCATTATCATTCACTGTTATTATGGGATCTGCTTCTTTTCAAACAGCTGCAGGTTTAACTGTTGCAGCACTAACATTAATTGCAATACTTATCTTCTTACATAAAATAATGAATCTTTCATTTTGTGTTGTATCAACAACATTATTTGGATTTCTTGTTATCGGATTCATTTGTATTGGAATTATTTATGCTATACAACCGTCATATCAACCAACAATATTAAATTATCAAACTGGTCAGACTTTTGTTTTAGATTCAAATAACCAATTTAAATTTTCAATATCTTCTCCTCCATTTAATTGTTTTTCTCCAAATTTCTATTCAAAAAATCTTGACTCTCTTTCTCTTATTCAAAATCCTTTAATTGATAATGAATTCATTATTCAAGGAAAATTAACAGAAACAATTAATGACGTTCAGTTTTATCTTACTTGCTCAAAATATCTGACCTTCTATTGTGGTTCATATTCAATTTCTCCATTGTAATTTGATTATTTTATTGTTGGAATTCTTTTCAAACCCAAAAAAAACGAACTCAAAAATAAACTAAAAATAAAATAATTAGAGATGGCTTTTAACAAAGAAAAGAAAGAATCCATTGTTGATGATGGTAATGCAATAGTATATCCGTCTGATTATTCTCGTGCTTTAGATGATAGTTATTTATATTTTATAAATTTATTAACAAACGATCTTGAAATTGCTCGTATTTTTGGAGAATGCCTTCCTATAACTTCACAAGATTTATTTAGTAGTCTTATTTGTGATTTGTTTTGTGAAGTTCATGTAATTGATGACTTCATTGAATTATTATTAAAACAAGAATTTCAAACAAATGTACTAACAGCAACTTTATTCAGAACAAATAGTTTATGTACAAAAGTTCAAACAGCATATGCTAGAAAAGAATGTCAAAACTTTATGATGGAAGTATTTCAACCAATTATTCAAAAGGTTATTGCAATGCCTCCTCTTGAATTAGATCCTATCAAACTTCAAACACTTCATCCAAATAAAACTGAAGAACAATTAACTGAAGAAGCAAATAATAATCTTCAAAAATTAGAAGATTTAAGTGATGAAGTGATTGCAACTTTAAGAAGACATTTACGAAATACTCCAACTCCTCTTTCAGTTATGTGTCATCAAATTAGAGAATCTTGTTTTTTATATCATACAGATGATCCTGATATTGCTCTCTCACTTATTGGAGGTTTTGTATTTCTTAGATTATTTTGTCCTGCTTTAGCTGCTCCAGAAGGTTCAAATCTTTGTGGTACTGCTATTGTCCCACCAACAGCAAGAAGAACATTAATTCTTTTAACAAAAATCTTACAAAATATTGCTAATAATGTTAGAGAAACAAAAGAACCTTGGATGATTAATTCATTACCATACGTTATGTCTAGAGGACCTGCTCTTCAAGCTTATTTAAAAGCATTATCTAATGCTGGAATTATTAAAACAAAACCAACTATTATATTTGAAGCCTCTCAAATTAATCCACCTCTTGTTATTGAACTTCATAGGCTATTAAATGAAGCAGTTCCAAATTTAACTACTCTTAGTGAAAAAGGAGCACAACAAGTTTGTCGTAGACTTCCATGGAGTAAGTATGTAAGAAGACCATCAACAAGAGCAGTTCGTTTACCTGATCCTCAAGGTCTTCTTAAAAATGCAGATTTATTAGGACCATCTCCACGTACATATCAATTGAAAATACCTAAATTTATCGGAAATGCACCTACTGGTGATCCATTTAGAGATTTTCTTTCATCACAACATGTTACTGTTTATATTGGAAGAAGTCCAAAACAAGAGGCATTATGGTATGTTTCATGTGAAAGAGTAGCACAAGGAATGATGGAACGAGGATTTCTTACAGGATATACAAAATTAAAACAATTTATTCCAGATAATGAAATTATAATTTGTGATTTTGCATGGGTTGTTCTTAATCAAGTTGATGCTATTGCTGATTTTGTTAAACATCTTGGAACAGGTAAAATAATTGGTATTAATGCACACCCTTCTATTAGAAAACAAATCCAAACAGTTTTTTCACAAATTACATTTGAAGAAAAAGAGGAAATAAGAAAAGCATTTGGTGATATTCCAAAAGTTCCAGAAAGTTTAATTTATGAACAAAGAGATTATCCAGTTATTCAAAAAGATAAAAAGAATGAACGAGTTTTAAGAATTGGATATACTGCAATTTATATTATTGATCCAAGAAATAGAAAAATTAGTGAAAAATTAGCATATAAAGATATTGGAGAATTTATTGGGTTTTCAAAAACGGGAGCATTCCATATAAATCATAATAATGGATTATATTGTTTTACTTTAAAATCTGCTTTAGAAAGAGGTCAAGTTTTAGCAGATATCTATATGGCTAAAACGTCTCGTCGTTCATTGTTTTCTCGTGTTGTAGATTTTGAATTTCTTGCTACTTTAGTAGGTAAAAAAGGAGAAAAAGAAATTGAATGTACAATTATAGTAACACCAACTGCTTTATTACTTGTGAATAATAAAATTATTGATAGAGAAATATGTTTTTGTGCTATTGATACTATTGATTGGACAATTCAATCAGATAAAGGAGTTTCAAGAGAGGTTGTTAAAATTGAATGCCGTTCTAATAAAAAGGATGAAATCATTTCTGATATGGTCAGAATTACTGTACCAAAAGATGTTTCTGATCAATTCAAAGAAATTATCAATTCTGTTGTGATACAACATAAGTGTTAAAAACATTTAACTCGGCTATTTTTTATATATATATTTCTTTTTTTTTTCTTAAACTCCTAAAGTATAGTTAAATGAATTTCAATTAAAGTGGTTGTAAAAAGTTAGATGGAACAAATCCTCTTTTTCCATTAATTTCACCTTCAAACCATTCATCATCAGTTGAATAAATTTTAATAATATCTCCCTTTTTAAATGATAATTCTAAACTTTCTGTTGCGTCATATGAATAAATTGCTTTATATAATTTTACTGTTTCTTCTTCTTTTTCAAATTCATCTAATTCAAGTTCAATACTTTCAACATCAGAGGATTCTTCAGTTGTATCTTCATCACATTCTACAATTTCAATTTTCTTTTTTGGTGTTTCTTGTACTTTTGAATTTGAAATAGAATCAATATCAACTGTTACAACCTCAAACTCATCATCTTTTTCTTGTTCTTTTTTCAATTTTTCAATTTTTGCTCTAACTTTTGGATCAAGTTGTGTAGGTTTTTTCATATTTTCTGGGTTTTTAGGAATAAGAACACTATACCTTACATCTTTTTGTTGTGAGTTTCCATTTCTAATTTCAGATAACATTCTTGTTTGTCTATTTTCAATTCTTTTTAAATTTTTAACAGCTCTTTTCTTTGAATTTGGTTGTTCTACTTTCTTTATTGAATTATTCTCTTGTTTTTCTATTTTTGTTGATGTTTGTGGTTTTGGTTGTTCTTTTTTTGGTTCTGTTAGTGGTTGTAATTTTTGTGTTTGACAACGTTGTTTTGGTTCATCTTTCTTTATATTTAAATCACTTCTTGTTTTTGAACTACTAGTTTTATCTTCTGTCTTTGGTGATTGCTGTTGAGTTGTAGATTTTGGTAGTGAAGTTATACGACTTGTTTGTTGTAATTGATTTGGTTTTGTTGGTGGTAATTCTTTCTTAAGGGCTGGATATCTATTGACATCTTCTGGTTCTGTAATATTTACAGCAGAAGACTCCTTAACAAAACACATTTCTAATTTATATTTACCATAATATAAATCATTTTGTTTTTTTCTAAATACAACGTCTTCAGTTACACAAGATTGGTCTGGTGGAGTTATTGTAAAAGTTTTTTGTGTTAATTCAGTCTTTTCCATAATATTTTGTAAATTGAATAAACTACTTCGAGTTTCAGTTATTTGTTCATCTTCATAAATATCACTTCCAATGAGTCCAATCATTGTTTCATTATAAAATAACATAGAAGTAGAGATAATATTTTTCATATCTTCAACTAATTCAGTTCTTAAATAATTGTATAAGTCAAGACTTCTTTCATACTTTTGTTTTGCTTGAACTTGATTTTCTCCTTTTGAATTATTCACCTGATCTTGAAATCTATCACAATCATTATGTCTTACTTTTAGTATTGCATGTCTAGCAGAAAGAACATTATACATCTTTTTTAATTCAAGTAATGGAGAGATTACAACTTTTTGAACTGTTTGTTTATATTTTGAAACTGCCATACTTTCAATTTCACAAGTAGTTTTATATTTCATAGCTGCAGAATTAATTTCAACAATTGGATCAGTTAATTGTATTAAAGCATCAGTTATATCTATTCGGGTGTGTTGAACTTGACTCATTAATTCTAAATTATTAGCTATGAGATGATACAATCTGTTCAATCCAACTTCTTGATATTTAAACTTTTTATAAACTCTTTGGTACTCTACATCTATTGTCTTTTCGCTCATATTAAGACTGGTTTTGACTTGATATATCTTCTTGCTCAATGCATCTCTGATAGACATTCTTTTAAAAGAATTTTTTAGTTATTAACTTTTTTAAAAATTTCATAGTATATTTTTTATTTTTGGCTTTTAATATCGCCTTCAATTATTAAAAAAGAATAAAAAAAGTTCTCAAAAATCCTTGTTACCATCAATTGAAGGTTGTTTAAAAGAAAAGAACTTTATTGAAAACTAAAAAATAAAATCCATCATCTTAATAATACGAATTTGAAATATGAGTAGTGATAAACAACATTACAATAAAAAGAATATGGGTATCAAACAATTTCCAAAAGATTGTATCTCACAAGCATCAGTAATCACTTCTATTGACCTTTCAAATAATGAGATTACAGTTTGTTACTATTGTTCAAAAGAATCAAAGGTATTAGAATAAATTGACAATGGATAGAATCTCCCTAAAGAAATGGGAGCATTTAAAGTGTTAACTCATTTCAGAATGATGGCTAATAAAGTATCAACATTGCCAGTTAGTTTTACTACGTTAAGTAATCTTCGACATCTTGATTTAAATGCAAATTGTTTTACTGAATTTCCAACACAAATATCAACATTAACGAATTTAGAAGAAATTCAAATGATTCAAAACCAATTAACAACAATACCTGATTGTATTGGAAAGTTAGTCAAATTGCAAAGAATTTCATTTACTGCTAATTTTTTAAATCATTACCAAAAGGATTAGCTAAATGTGTTGATATGAATTATATTGGATTAACAAGTAATGAATTTGAAGAATTTCCAGAAAGTATTTGTGAATTAAGAAAAGT